CCACGGTAAAATACGGTATATTACACCTAGATTTTAACCCCAATTAAATGCAAGATTTTGCGAACTCACCACAGTAAATCATACAATCTATACAATCTGCATGGCTACGTATTCGATTTTTCGGGTTTATTAAATTCGATAAATCCAGTTTTATTAAATTTGATTTTTTGGGTTTATTAAATCCAGTTTTATTACAGCTGTTTTCATTATTTCTAGGACACCTGATAAAAAATTAGCCAAAGTTATTTTTTTGGCATAATAAATTCAATAAAAAAATTGATGTAATAAACGTAATTTAAAATCAGGTGGATAATATAAATATAAAATTATGCACATCTCTTGTTGAATTCAAAAAATTTAGAAAGCCTATCAACTCAAAAAATTGCAAAACACTTAGGTGTTAGCACACCTTCTATAAGTCAGGATCTTGTACATTTTCAAAGATATTGTTGTATTGAAAATTTTCAATGCTTTCAGGAAAACCATGTTCTTTAAACATGAATGATATAAATTATCTTAAAGTTTTAATTAAAGAAAAACCTGACTGATACTTGTTTGAATTACAATCCGAGATGAAACTTTGATTGGGACGCAACATTGGTCTTACAACAATTTGGAAGGCTATACACCGACTTGGGCATACACGCAAAAAGGTAATATTTCATATATTTATACATATTTTTATTTTATAAACTTTTAACAACTTTATAAAAGGCTCTTTCGTATTAATAGCTTCTGATTCAGGTTCTTTCATGTTAATAATATCCAATTTAGGATCTTTTTCACTTAATTTCTGAATCAGTTGTGGTCACTTCAGACAAGTCAGATAACTCAAAAGTATTTGTCATGGATGATAAATATTCTAGAGAATCTTTAATTGTTAGATCTACTGTTTTGCTTTGATTTTGTTGATCATAATTTTAACACATTTTTGACAAATATTAATTAAGTCTTGGAATCTTGACTTTAGTTGAATTTTTAGTTAAATTTTTAGTCCAATCGGCGAATTCTTGATCGTATCTAACTTTTTTAATATTAGCACCTATAGATGCTAATTTGATATCCGGTGACTTTTTTATATTTCTTATCAAGTTTTATTGGTTGACAAAGACAGTCTTATGAAATTTTAATAATTATAATAATAAAATAATTTGTAAAGCAAGTATTATATTTATTATGATAATTTTTGAAATTGGACTAACGATGTAATTTAATTTATGACATATATAGATATTATATCAATATTGCAGTAAATAATTGGACGAATTAAAAATTTATTTTTTTTATATACCAATCATGCCGAAAATAACTTAACCGGATCGGCCGAAAAATCATTCGCTAATTTTTCATAGGTGTCCCAGGAATAATGAAACAGCCGTAAATTTGATAAATCCAGTTTTATTAAATCCGAATATAAAATAATTAAATTCAGGTGCAACAAACGGTTCCAACCTCTGCAATGTGATTGTAAAAAGACCCCAAAATTCAGCTATTTATGCATCCTGTAATTATTAAATCCAGGGGCCTTAATTTAGTTCCAATTCCGCAAATTCGCAGATATGAAATAAGAAATCAATTAAAAGTGAATAAGTACTGTTTATTTTTTCGCAACGGCGGGAATAAGAGGTAAATTCCCATTTGGTCATTCAACTAGATCTTCTGTAATTCATTTTAAAAACCATTCCGTACGGCCTGCTATTGGGTATTATTCAATTTATGACATCACTGATAATCAGATTTACTCCCATAGCGATAGCCATGAAACGTTAAAATAAATTGATAATTCGAAAAAAATTAAGAATCTATGATGAAAAAATGATTGGTAAAAATGTATAAGATATGTGATAGAAGGTAATTCATTATAAGGATACAGTATCGAGGATTAGACAAAAAAATAAATGTCTAGATATACTTACAGCATAGGCTCATTAAACCGTATAAGCGCGAAATATGCTTACAAAATCATGTGCATGATTCTCAAAATTCGTGCGCATGCTGTCACTAGTTCTAATAATAATAGACAGGTTTGAATATTTGTTTAGAGGTAGCTTTTATGTAATAAAACGAATAATAAACTAATAATTTGAATGAATCTATAATAATAATGGTAGTAATTCATAATAATTAATATGTTGGTGCAACTTATGTGGCATTTAATTAGTCTAATATCAGTCCGTCCAGTTCATATTGATCGGTCCTAATCAGTCCTAGACCGTAATCCAGTTTAACTTTTCAACTGACTGCCGGTCTTTGGACCAAGACGGACCAACTAACAGCCCTAGTCTGAATTTTAATATCCCTAGGTATATCCCGAACCCAAACATGTTCATGAACTTCGAACTGAACTTCTAATCATGTTCGAGTTCAATTCAGGTTCGAAGATTTTATGTTCAAGTTCAGGTTCGGGATCAAAAATTTCAAAATTCATGGTTCAAGTTCGGGTTCGATCAGACCCAAACCGAACCCTAATCGGACCGAACTGAACCTAGGAGCCCTATTTGGAGGCTTGATTTAAAAACATAAGCTAAAATCCACCTATTTTCTATTTCTATTTGTACCCGATTTGCCATCGTTCAACCTGTGTCAAATCTAACCCTAAGCCCTAACCTAACCCTAAAAAAAAAACCTAACCTAACCCTAAAAAAAAAAACCAGAAAAAAAATATTTCAACCCAATTTTAAAATTTAATATAAAAATAGGTCCAAATTTCAGCCGCGACAATAAATTTAAATAGTTCTTATGTAGTTTCATTTAAATCCTTACCATACTAAACCGATGTTATATATTATTAGAGATAGAGTTTTGATCCGTTTTATTTTTCATATGTTAAAACTGATTAAAACCGATTCCAAACCCTAATTAGAGATTAGATGGTATAGTTTTTAAAATAGGTATTTTATATCCAATACTATTCTGAAATTACTAAAAAAGAGGAATACTGTAATGATTATGATTGGGCACAGATTATCTAATCTGATATCAAACTCTTGAAAAAAAAGTACATTTTAGCATTGCTACATTCTTTATGAATCTCTTCGAGATAACTATACTATACAGTATGTGTATTTTGATGAAAGGAGTCAATAATAACAATAATAATAATAATAATTTCGGCAAATATGAAATTACAGTTGTTTTCATAAATTCTGGGACACTTGAAAATTGTCATCAGTAAAACTTATCGATTCGGTCGTAGGAAAATTTTCAGCTTACCCAAAATTTATGAAACAGCTGTAATTTCGGTAATAATCTGTTATGTATGAAAGAATTAATTTAGGCCGTAATAATTTTTTGTTTTTGACTATTTTTGACCGGAGTGATTTATGAAATACTGTATAGGTTTATATAACGTCCAAATTTTGTTATGTATAAGGTTTTTGGGATTCTGACCATTTTTACTTAGAACCCCTAACTTTAATTACTTAGTACGTTTTTGGGGCAAGTTAGCAATAGTCTAATTTTTTATTCGGATATTCTGCTGATCTGGATATTCAGATTCACTGAATATCTGAATAACGTATATCGATGGGACATGCCTAATTAAATTTTTTGATTAGACAGTTTTGGAAATGTCCAAAGCCGTCCAAAATTGTCTAATATATTAACTTATATAGTAACATACATATAAGTGACAGGAGAAAACCTGTAATTCTTAAAAATAGTTTATCATATTAATTTGCTTTTTAGGACTACAGGTTTTTTCCCGTCATATATAATATTCATATTTTTTATATTTAAATAAATAATGATTAATATAAAGTTTTTTATATTTATATATATAATAAAATATATATATATATCTGGAGGTGTGGTTCAAAATTTTTGCCTGAATTAAGCTTGATTCAGGAAAAAATTTTAAACTAACTCTGAGCACTATTCGAGCAAATACAGTACAATTTTGTTGGAAAATATTTAATTGGTTGGTAAAAATTAATCTTAGAAATTCCGAATCAACTTAAATTCTGTTTCCACCTATATATGACATATATGTATATATAATGATTGACCAAAACCAATTAAATTTAGGTTTGGTTTTGGGCAAGGTTTTGGACAGGTTTTGAACATGGTGTCCAAAAAAACAAAACTGTCCAATTTCCCAACACTGCAATGGGGTTTATTCAAAACCTTCATTTTTAAAATTGATAATACCCGGAAGCAGTTCTCAAATGACCAAATAACTAATTTTTTTCATTAAGTAAGGTAACTGATAATACTGTATATTATTAGTTAGTATAATAAACTTTATAACTACTGTAAATTAATTAAATTGATATTTGAGCCTTCCAAGTTCAAATGACTTTTAAATGACTCGAAAAATATGCAAATGATCCGGTCATTTGAGAACACTTCCCGGGAGTACTTTGTATAGAACCGGCTATTATATCTGGCAGATATTCATATAAAAAGTAAGAAATTAATATACTATATTGTCGCGAAATAACACGCAGGTGTGTAATTTTAAATTTTGGCCTAAATTAGGCCAATACTCTAAATAACGCCCATAATTGAACTAAAATTCGGGATAATGATTGTTTGTTGAGGCAATTATTAACTAACGATGAGGATAAGCTTAGAATTGGTTCAGAATGGTTGAATTTTATAATAATTATTTGTATGAGAAACGATCATACAATTTTAGATGTAGATTTGCGACATCAAGTCTCTCTTATACATATCGATATAATGCCAAATTAAATACAGTACCCGGGTACCCCGAAATAAAGTTACGTACCACTAAACTAAAATGGGATGAAAGGAGTTTCATTCGACTTGTGTTAAATTTATCACACATTTGGGTAACCAAACAATCTGTGTTCGTGTTCATAGTCACAATATTTTATATAACATATAAATGTAATAAATGTAATTTATTTGGTTCTTTTTTTTTTTTATAACCCTATATATCCTCCCTACGACCAACTGGTCGTTATTGTTCGCTTTCTTTATATTCTTTTCATTATTTTCATTATTTTTCATTATTTCCTGATAAAGTTATAACTATGGCATACTCTGATAGAATATCATATCGTTCGTTATATCAAAAACAAACTTATTCAATTTGGAAATTTCCAAGATTATTTAGAAGTATCGCTGCATGCTTGTCACTAGTATTCTTCATTGTAATACCATTTATTCATCTAAATAAACGTCATATAGATTCAAATTCTTCTCTATTTCATAAAGTAAATGATCATAAACCACATAAACCACTTTTTAATAGTATTAGTAATAATATTATAGTTATCGTCGATGGTGATCAACAAGCAACCAGTCTACAACCTATTTATTGTAAATTGTCTAAAAAAGCTGAAAATGTATATACTCATGTAATTGTTACCGGAAAAAATCGTGGAATGGGCGGTACAAGATTAATAAGGTTCAATTCCCTATTTTCAAATTGTGATGTATCTGTATATGATTTAGAACTTCGTAAAGGTATTTCTTCCAATGAAAATATCTTACCTTTGGTATTTCAAGGAATAAATCATGCAATAGATCAAATTCGACCCGATGTTTTGATTTATATAAATGATCCTGAAAATGAAGCAATGCGTGGTGTTGATGCCGCTTTAGTTGCTGCTTCTCAATCAAATAATAATATTACAAAGATTTCAATACCTATCGAACACACAAAACATTTATTGTGGCTACCTGATTTATCTATTGAGGCACTTAAAAGTATGTAACTCTTTTTTATTTTTTATATTTTTTATATTTTTTATATTTTTTATATTTTTTATATTTTTTATATATTTTTTATATATTTTTATATATTTTTTTTATTTTTTATTTTTTTTATTTTCTTGGTTACGTTTTTTCATATCCTCTTTATATTTTATATTTTTATATTACAGACTGGAACAGTCCAAAAATTCAATTACAAGTGATCACACAAAATCGTCCTCAATCTCTAGAACGTCTTATGCAATCTCTCAATTCATCTATTTATTTTGGTGATGATATATCTCTCGCTATAAACATGGATCGAGGTGCTGATCCTGTGACCATTAAGCTTTGTCAAACATTTAAATGGACTTTTGGTCATAAATTCGTTCGACATCGTGTAGTTCAAGGTGGTTTACTGACTGCTGTAGTAGAATCTTATTATCCTACTGATTATAATGAGTACGCTATACTTTTAGAAGATGATGTTGAACTTTCTCCATTTTATTATATATGGGCAAAATATGCTGTCTTAAAATATAGATATGGTATTGATAAAAGTTTATCTGGAAGAATGTTTGGAATTAGCTTTTATAATATAAAAGTTAATGAATTAAATTTCGCTGGTCGTAAACCTTTTAATCTGCTCTTAGTTTGAGAGGAACAATATATCCTAATCAATCTCCATATCTTAGTCAAGTACCTTGTAGTTGGGGTGCTTTATATTTCCCTGAAATATGGCATGAATTCCGTATTTATCAAAATGCTCGATTAAATGATATCCATGGTCTTAATTTACAGAAAGTAATCGTTCCAGAAAGTAGATCTAATCGTTGGAAAGCATCTTGGAAACGTTTCTTTATAGAACTTGTTTATCTTCGTGGCTATGTAATGCTCTATCCTAACTATGAAGACTTTGTCAGCTTTTCAACTAATCATTTGGAGAAAGGTGTTCACAATCGTAAAGACAAAAAAGAAGTGAAAGAAGTGTTTGGTCTTCCATTAATGGATAAAGATATTGTATTGGATGGATTACCTGGTGGTCGTTTACCAAACTTTAAGGATTTACCAACTATGGATCTTTGGGGAAAGGTTACACCAATAAAAGAATTAATTCAACGTGGACATAAACTACACTTGAAAATTTCACATTGCCCTCCTAATGATTTTGATGAACTCACTTACGATCCTCAAGACCTATTATGTGTTGATGAAGAGACTGTACGCATTAAAATGAATAAACAATCGGAATCTGAAATCGATGAAATCCTAAATACTTCAAAAGGCACTGAGATAATTGAACAAATAATTAAGGAAGATAACCATGCAGAAAAACCGACAATTGATGATAAAATATCCATTCTTGATGGCGAAGAAAAAAATATCCCTTTGAAAATGAGAAAATAACTCTTCTTCACTTGAAATCATTTATAATGCACTTCTGAAATAAAATATCCATTCTTGGTGGCGAAGAAAAGATATTCCTTTGAAAATGAGAAAATAACTCTTCTTCACCTGAAATCATTTATAATGCACTTCTGAAATAGAATATGTATACATAATATTTTCTAATTATCATGTTAATTACTATATCTTTTGTATTTAGTATCTTTTTGCCATTAAATGGCGTCATAGCTTTAATTGTGAATATAATAAAATAAATAAAAATAATAAGGACGAAATCAGTTAAGCTCCAGTGCATATTTGTTTCGATATTGATCTTTATTAAATCAAGCATATAAATATTACATTCAAAATAAGGCATAATATTATATTTTATTGTTCATGTGATATGATCATGTAAAATTTTTTGCCTTGATATTTTTGTCATAAAATGACATCATCATTTATG